TCTAAATATCCAGAGTGGTGCTGCTGGAACTATAAAAACAAAGCCTAAGCTTACTTTAACAAGGACAAAAACTCCTGAATTCGAGACATCACAGCAGGTGCGCTCTAAGATTAAAAGTTCCGCTGAGTTAGAGGAGGAAGCAATGGCTAAAATCCCCAAGTTTAAGGCTCGTCCCCTAAACAAAAAGGTAAGGAGTTTATCAACTTGACATAGTCTTTCCCGATATATATTTGGACATGTAATAATAATGTGACTTCAATGCATAGATTTTCGAGGCCCCAGCTTTACCACCATTGCCGAGAAGCACTCCGCATCCTCCAGAATTTAAGGTAATAAATTCACTTCCTAGTAGATGTTTGAAGAAAGTAAAAGTTTAGATTAACGCAAAAGTTATCATGACCTGAACAGGAATTCCATTTGGAGGCCATGTCAAGGGCCATTCAGAATGCAGAAACGCCCACTGTGGTCTCAAGACTCTCAACAGAATCGACAGCGGGTCAGGTATGGCTGGGGAATACTTTTTAGGTGTCAACTGTAATTTTTTTTATCATTTTCTTCTCTTTTCTAATTGATCAACCTATCATCATGCACTATCTGGTGGTAACTGCAGAACCATCAATGGAAAACAGCACCAAAATCACCTCTTCTTCAGACGTCTCTCAGAGCTCGTCCACCGACCATCAAAAGCTCTGAAGAACTAGAGAAGGAGGAACTTGGGAATATTCCACAGTTCAAAGCAAGACCATTAAATAAAAAGGTTAGCTACACAACATCTTCTTCAAGACATTATGACAATTATTTATAGAACCTTGTGGGCTTTGTTACTTGACAGATGTAGTAACTTCTACCCTTCTTCGTATTTTGCAGATATTCGAGAGTAAAGGGGAAATGGGAATATTTTCTCATATGAAGAAGCCGCTCACTACTCCTGAGGAATTTACTTTTGCCACAGATAAAAGAATCCCACCACTAGTTGAGGTTGTAGATTTATTTGATAAGGTAACTTGCTGTCTCTCTCTCGATTTACTTTACATTTGTTATATTCATAATATAACTGAAAAATTAAAATAAAATCTTTTTCCTGCTGCCTTCAGTTGTCAATAAACTCACAATCTCACCAGGAGAAGCCTCTTCCTAGAAATACCACACCAAATCCGTTCCATCTCCACACTGAGGTATATACGAGAACTTTCTCAACACGAGTTTTTGTTTGAGAGCACATCATATTCTATTTTGAATTCACATCTTTCTTAATATTTCCAGGAAAGAGGGGCGCAGAAGGAAAAAAGAATAGCACATGAATCTTTACAGAAACAGCAAGAAGAAGTGAGAGCCAGAATACCAAAAGCTCATCCATATCCTTACACAACTGACTACCCCGTGGTATGTACTTATGAAAAAAAAAAAAAGGCTCATTTTATCACATACATTGCTAGACTTGACATACTCTTTTCTTTTAGATTCCACCAAAGCCAGAGCCAAAGCCATGCACAAAACCGGAACCTTTTGAGCTGCAAAGCTTGCTGAGGCACGAAGAGGAGATGCAGAGAGAAATGGAAGAGAGGAGGAGGAGGGATGCGGAAGAAGCCGAGATGCGAAAATTCAAAGCACAACCTATCTTGAACGAGTATGTCAAGTTGACTCGTTTCATGATTTTCGTTTTTATTGCTTCTGAGCAGTTTTGGACTTATTTACCGATATTGGAAACAACTCGTGTAACGTGTGCTGTTGACGTGTATACCAGGGACCCTATTCCAGTTCCTGTGAGAGAACGAAAGCCCCTCACCGAAGTTCAGGATTTCAATCTGCATGTCGAGCACCGGGCTGCTGAAAGAGCAGAATTTGATAAAAAGGTCATTTTGTTTTCTTTTTTTTTTTTTCAATTTGTTGAAGCCCCCCCTTACTCTTCCACAGAATTCAGACGTTCCATTGCTGTTCGAAAAGTTCTTTACGAAAGTCCTACCTCACAGATTAAGAAGAAAGAAATGGCTTACAAGAGATACTTAGAGGAAAAAGATTCTGCAAGGATGGTAAGCACAAATTATAAATAATCCGCCTTAAACCTACAAACACTTTATGCATGCGCATCAACCCATATATTCTTCAACTTTTCTTCATGTATAAATCATTTAGTTCAATATTCATTGTGTTAATATTCATTCTTACACCCGTTATTAAAGGAGGAGGAGGAGAAGGCCTTGAAACAGCTGCGGAGGTCAATGGTCCCACGTGCAAGACCCATGCCTAACTTCGCAAATCCTTTCTTACCGCAAAAGTATGTCTTATAAAAGGAGAAACAAAATCATTTTCACCATTTATTCTACCAGCTGGCTTTCCTAATATCTTCTTTTTTTCTCCCATCATCTCTCCCTCCACAAGCAGGTCTGTCAAAGAAGTAAGGAAATTCAAGTCCCCAAAGCTGCATGTCGACTGTAGGAAAGAGAAGAGCAGAGTAGTATTTCCCTCTGCAACCGCTACCCATCTCATCAGGTGAGATTTCTCACGCGACAGTGCGCACAATCTCAATTAAAGGGGCAAGGATGGGGACAGGGGTAGAGAAGGCACTAGAGACAAAACTGGTTTTGGTGTACATATTGAGCTTTTGACATTTTTTTTTTCAGACAGTTACCTTTTTGCTTCAATGCGCGCGTCTCTTTTTAATAGATTCTCATTGTGTGGAATTATTTCTTTGGTTGTCGGTACATATTGCTCCCTGTCAATTTCAGCATTTTATTTCCAACTTTTTCATACTGCCCATGCATCTCATGTTTCTGGTTTGCTTTATTGGGCATTTTAGTTAATTTGCATGTTACTCGATGGTCCTCACTTTCTTCAATTTCCGGTGCAAAATTGTTGTCTGCTGGTGGAAGTGTGGATATTTTTGTCTTGCTGTTTTTGGTGATCTTGTTGGATATGGTTATTTCTCTGCTTTTTTTTTCATTGTTATTATATACACAAATCGGAAATGCTTCATTACTCACGGTGAACACGTGTTAATATGCTTACCGCTTATGTGGCATACACACATTGGTGATGTATTTAACATCACCAATGTGTGTATGCCACATAAGCGGTGGACATATTAACATGTGCCCACTGTGGGTACTGGAACATTTCCCATACACAAATTCTATAGTTAATTATACATTAAATTATGTCAGGTTGTGCTCCGGTTGTGCGTGCACAACCTTAACCTCTCTAGTCTTAATATAAAAACAATATTTTTTTTTTTCACACAATTCATTATATGTTATGTCAATATTAATGTTTATAATATTTAAATAATAGGAATTAAGTGTAGAACAATCATAATAAAAAAATTTAATAATTATCTTTCTATTCTTTTTTTTTCCCTAAAATTACAAAATATATTCTTGTCTTTTTTTTCTTGGTGGGATTTTTACAAAAATTGCAACTATACTTTCAACAGCATCTTTTTTATGTTGGAATTATATCAAATATTCATTGAAACTTAAAAAGAAATCAAGAATTTCATGATATTATTTACCTAGAATTTCAAATATCGTCAATTAAGACTTTGCTCTTCATATGATTTTAAAAAAATAAGTTTAAGAATAACCATTCATTAATCATACTTTCAAGATCTAATGATTTTTGCCTTTATTGTTTGCCAAAGTTGAATGAAATTTGTTAATAAGAATAAAAATGTTCCACAGAGCAAATGAATGAAATATCTGTTATTTTTTTCATAATCTTTGATTTAACGAGCTTTTTAGTTGCTCGGGCTGTGCGGTTGAGGGCCTCTTTCTTCGTTTTGTGGATGGCGTTCGCGGAGTCACAGGCAATGGAGTTCAACTAGCCAAATTGTTGTGATTTCCGGTTTTGGACTTGATAGTAATTAGGGTTGATCATGGGACTCGGAGAATTCCGAAACGTTCCGAAAATCGAACCGAAATAACTCCACGAATTGTTTGACTTTCTCCTAACCGTTGAAAATTTGATGATTCCACCCATTGTCGAGCGGGTGGAATCATCAAATTTCCTACGATAATAAACCGTTGGAAAATGGGTGGAATCATCAAATTCCAATAAAATTCCAACTAAAAATCCATTCAAACGGAATATTTCCGTTGGAATTAATCCAACCGAAACTATACAATTGGAATATTCATTGACATTTCAATTGTAAGATATTACCGTTGAATTTTTCGTTAGAATATGACAATTTTTATTTTTTTGTAGTGTGAAATTATCCGAACGCTGAGGAGAATTTGAATGATTATTCTGAGTTTGGCCCAGAGGGGTTGCGAGTTGCAATTGAGATGTGTGTATGCATATATATATATATATATATTCTTTTTTTTTCTTTTTTTTCGGACTAGCCCGTGGCTCGCTTGGCTCGACCCGTCAAAACTCGCAGCACATAGGGGCTTGCCCAATTAGGCCCGCTCTTTGACGGGCTTGCAAATCTCTAGCCCGATCCTCCTTTTTGGCGGGCAAGGCGAGCTGGCCCGTGGGCTGCACCCCGTTTTGACATATCTAGTTGTGTAAACGTGGTGCTACCACATATTCTTTAAGTGGTGGTTTTAGTTATTGATTTGGTAATATCAAGATTATGAAAATTGGGCACCTCATCGAATGAATCAAGCTACTGGTCAATGGTTGAACCTTTTACCGATATTTTATTTATTAATATTTATACACATATATAATATTTCTTGTTTCGAAATTTCTTTTTCCTTTTCTCATATTATATATAATAAATTATCCGTTATTGCATTTATAGATACTGATGCAATTTATAATTCTTTGTAAGAACAGTTTCTTTTCAATCAAAAAAATTGTACACAAAATAAAATAAAATAACCAATTTATAACAACAGTCCTTGTAAAAGTTTAAACCGACTGAACTCTCATGGTTTTTAAGCTCAACCTCAAACCCTTAGCGAATCAAGCTCAACAAGGATCATCAACCAAATGAGCAAGTAGTAGAACTCGATCTTTGCTCGTTTATCTATTTTAATGAGTCAAACTCGAGTTTTAACGAGTCAAATTATAAAACTGAAGTTAAATACAAAAAATTTTTATTTGAGTCTTATCTAGCTGATACGAGCCCGACTCGTTAACTAAATAAGACTTAAACAAACTCGAGTTAGGGAGTTTACGAGCTATTCATATTGTTTAACTATAAAACACATTAGTACAACACTCATGTATTACATGAGTGAGGACGGTGCCTCATCCCGGATCGTTCATGGAAGGATTCATAAAAGTGGGATCGGTATCCGGACAGGTCAAATCCAGGACCGTCCCGTACCGTGTCCACCCCTACCATAAATAATCAACATATTTATAGATCATCCGAACCTAAATATTTTTTATTAGAAGTAAATTAAATCTATCCAAACCTAATAACGAAGCATGTAATATTGCCACATAAGATCCCGAAGCATGCGAGTCTGCCACATAGGCTCAGCACGTTCTGAATTAATATATAGGGAGGATTTATACCGCTTCTGATTATTAACTTATCGAAAAAAAAAAATGAAATAAACATACGTTTTTGCTTGAAAGTAGAGGTGGCCAGTCAACGGGCCATGGCCCGACCCGCCGGGTCGGCGGGTCTCAAAACCTAGGCCTGTGACCGGCCCGCTTATACCTAAGGGCCGTTTCAGTGAACCGCCGGTTAAAAAAAAAATAAAATAAATTTGTAACTGTGGCCTGTCGGAAAATCCGGACCCGGCCTGGACCGGCGGGTCAAAAATGGGTACCACATGACCCTTAACCGGCCCTTAAGGGATTATGGGCCGGTTCAAAAACCGGCTAGGGCGGGCCGGTCCGGGACCGGTTTCTAGCCGGTTCACGGGTCGGGCCACGGGTCGGGCCAACCCGTGGCCATGTCTACTTGAAAGTTTATATACATGTGTAGGTGAACATAAAAACTGATGTGACATTCTATAATATATCTAAGTGATGACAAAGTTGACTATAATTCTATCTAAAATTTGCCACACGTTTTAATAAATGTAGGAGAATATGAACAAGTGGATAAAAAAAAATGTAGCTTTGTAGAGTGGTACAAGCAATGGCACTACCACCAACCAATTCATTTGGCTTAAGATTCCTCCATGGAAGCTAGCTAGTACACACTAGAGCGTATAAATACCACGATATGCTTCAAACATTTTCTCAATAAAAAAAAAAAAGAAAAGAAATACATTGAATTGCCTTTAAACTCGAGATGGATCTAAAAGGCAAACTTATTTCAAACATCAACATAAAATCGAATGGTAATTTGTTCTATGAGGTTTTCAGGTACAAACCCTACAAATTCTCAGAAGTCTGTCCCGAAAAGATTGAGAGGGTTGATTTGGTGCGTGGCCAATGGGGAACCGTTGGATCAGTCATTTGCTGGTACTATATCCTTGGTATGTGTGTATAAATTGGATCTTTTTGGATCATTTCTAATCTATATTATAAGCGTGGTTTAAAAAATCGAATTAAACATATATAACGGCTTAACTGGGAACCGTCTCTTAACCGGTCCGATCGTCACCCAAAAAACCGCATGCCAAATAATCGATCTTTGACCGATCGGACCCGTTTGATTTTTTGGTATTTAAATATTCTAAACTATCTAATTGTTTAGTCAATGATGTTTTTTAATATAAAATTTGTTATCTAAAATACTACAAAATATTTAAAAATATTAATAGGTTCAACCGGTCAAACCTCTAGTCTGAATTATGAAACATTGGACCAGTAGCTCTACTTGTTCGATGACAGATCTAATTTTAAAAACCTTTATTATGTGTTCACAAAAATATTTACTACAAGCGAACTTAATTATTTTTTTTAAAACGTATTCGTGTTTGCATTTAGTGGTCAATTTCACCATATCTGTGTGGACATTGCGTGTGTATGTGATCTAACGGCTCAAAACTACACATCATAGGATCGGATTCTCCGTATTTTGTTATGAGCTTCTTTATACTACCAGAAAAAAATGCATGATTATATAAATATATTGATCTTAATTAACTAACAAAGATGAGACGTGTATGGAAAAATTAATAAATTTACAGATGGAGAAAAGCAAATATCAAGTGCCACAATTGAAGCCATAGATGAGCACAAGAAATCGATGAAATTTACTGTGATAGAAGGAGATCTGATGCATGAATACACCACCTTCAAAATTCTTGTCAACGTGGACACCTCTAATGATGGAGAGCACGTAGTAACGTGGACCCTAGTGTACGAGAAAAAGTCCCAAGCCGTGTCGGACCCACACTGGCTAATGGACCTTTGCCTTGAGATGAGCCTAGACATTCAGCGCAGCAACATGCGCCTCGTGCCCAACTAATTTAATGAACTTTTGCATGATCATTCATGACCTACCCGATTATGGCAACCAGAAGTAAGGATCTACTATAAATATAACCAAATAACTGAGTAGTTGTGATTGGAAAATAAAATGCTCATTTAATGATCTTGTACTATATTTGTGTGCGACAATTATATTAATAACTTAAAAACTCAAAAGAGTACACCCAAAGTGTCAAGTGTCACACTAGAACCAGAAGACTGGACCAACCCCCCTTGTCAACACACAGAAAGGGGTACAAACTCAATCAAGGAGGCGAACGACCACAAAGCAAAACTCTAAAAAAGAGACACAAGTTCCATAAAGGAGATAAAAGCAGACACAGCTACACTAGACGAAACAGACACAGCTGCACTAAACGAAACAAAACAACAAAATTAAAGACCAATAAGCAACTCACACCTAATAAACAAATAAAGAATATAAGACCTCCCGTACAGCTAACAAACTCAACGCACGGCCATCCGAGACTGCATACAAGCCTCATCCACTAGCAAAGAGATCCAATGAAGCCACAAATCAGAAACTCGAGCCTGAAAACTGCGGCCACTGAAGCCGCCTAGTCGGATTTGAAGAAGAGTCTGCTCTCAAATCAAATTTGGCCTCTGAAACCATGCACACTAGGGGAGGGGAGAGGGAGCCACCGCAAGGACACCAACATGCCTCGCCGAAGTGCTCGAAAGAAGGATCGAATGGACGGCAGGCCGCACCCAATGATCCCAGAACCTGATAAACACAACCCCAGACAAAGTGACGATCGATACTTCCCCGAGGCTGTGGTACGAACACTAACGACCAACGGTCTCGACCTTGACCGGGAAGTTGACTGGGCGGTGAAAACAACTCAGTCCCGGTGGGAGCGAGTGTTCCACGTCCTGATCTCCCAAAAGCCTTAGAAGAGACAGATAAATACCACAACGCCGACTCGACGAACCCCAACTCCAACAGGTCGGCGACGAGTCTTAAGATGAAGTGGGGGAGCGAGATTTACAGAGGAGAAAAAAGGATTTGGGAACGGTTTTTTTTTGGGAGGCAGAACGACAGAGGAGAGTTTTTTACAGTCTATATGTTGAATATATATACATATGAAATTACGAATGCATTTCATTAAGTTACATTGCATGAGACTGGTCAATTCAGATATTTAAAATTGGTTGTAAAAAATTTCGAATATTTTTTTTTTTTTTTGAATGGAACTACGATGGGTATACATTTATAACTTAAAAATCCAACTTGGTTCTCCTTTATATTTTCCATATAGTTAAATAATAAAAACCAACCATTACCATATAATTTTCAATAGAATTACTATTTATCTACTCACTTATTTTTAGCTATCAATCATTGTATGAATATGTAACCCAAAAGCATTGGACCATAATTAAGTATCTATTGGGCTAGACCTTTATTAATGACCAAACAAATTTGAGCCATTAATCTGGATATTTGATGGACATATATTGGATCTAAAGTCTCTCCTATATAAATTGATCATCTCTCCTCCAATTAGGATACACAATATTTTCTCATCAATTGTCTGCTACGTTAAGGAATGATCACTAGGGAGAAACTGATTTAGATCAAGAGACTCGATCCAGCCCCGTGTGCTCATCAAGAATACAATTATGTCGTCTTTCGCATCAAGTAAGTGTTTTCGTATACACCAAATAATTTATTCAAGATCCCTAATTTATGTTTACATGTTGTATCAGAGCATGTGTTGTGGATAAATAATTTTATTGTAGAATGTTGAAAGATTATTTTATCCCTGATGTAATCATGGTTGACAGTTATTATACAAATAAATTCTAGAACAATTAATATACTTCAATTCTAATTTTTTACTATTAGTAAAACTACTTAATGTATTTGGTCATTATCTCTTAAATGATAAATTATTTTATTTGAAGAATAATTTATTTTTTATATATAACGAAATTTAGCTTAAGAAAAAATTATATTGGTAAATATTAATTCACCAACTTGATTTCGTCATATTAATTAGAGGAAAAAATTCTACCTAACCTGTTACGATTTTCTATAAATATTTTTAGATAAAAGTGAATATTTGTGAAAAAAAAATTATATTATGGTTAGAACTTAAAGTATGTTGTAATATTTATCTTGACAAAAATATTATCAACATGAATCACGGAAAATCAATATTGTAATTTATTATAATGAATATCAATGAAATTATTGCAGATATTAATAAAATTACTTAAGGAAATAATATTTTTGATCATAGCTGATTTGATGTTATTTGAAAATGTGTATATGGAAGCAATTAATGCATTCAAAAAGTTTCCTAAAAAACGGTATGCATTAAATGTTTCAAAATTTTTTGCTACTACTTTTAGTAAATGATTATTCTTATTATGTATATAGATTGGTATTATGCAACGAATAAGTAGAGTTAATTTCTATACAAAAAATGAGGGAAGATAACATTTAATTCACAAAAACTATGATATGCGGTCACAGGATGTAAAAAATTTATTTTTTTAAAGGAATAAGGTGTGTTTGTAAAAGAATAAATTCATTCAAATTAAAAATTAAAAAGTATGTATAAAAAAGACTAAATCTCAAACAAATGTTGACAAAAAGGTGATGTCAACAATTCGGTGCGAGTTACTGGACCAATTTTCCAATTTTCATCCAAATAATAGAACAAAATAGATATTTTAGAGGACTGAAACTAAAGCAGATAATAAAGTTTCTATGATTTTCTATCTACAATATGCCAATATGATTTTTCAAAAAAAGAAATGTACTGAGAATATGTACTAAAATGAATAAAATGATTTAGCTTTAGGTACAAGCAATGGCACCACCACCATTTCAATTAGTTTAGATTCCTGCAAGCCCACTTGTACATTTTATAGTATATAAATACCACTACTTTTTCAAACAATTTATCAAAATATAATAAAACAAAAAAGATTATTGCATTTTTATTTATTTCTAAAACTCGAGACGAGATGGATCTTAGAGGAAAACTCGTTTCAAGTATCACCATAAATCGGATGGCAATTTGTTCCATGAGCTGTTAAGGTACAAACCCCACAAGATTGCAGAAATCTGTCCTGAAAAAGTTGAGAGGGTTGATTTGGAGCGTGGCCAATGGGGAACCGTTGGATCAGTCATCTGCTGGTACTATACCATTGGTACGTTCCTCTTTTTAATTTTGATCTCTTGATCATTACTAATCTATATTTACTCAATCGATTTTTATTTATTTATTAATTTTCATTGCATTTAATCAAAAAATTTGCAGATGGAGAAAAGAAGATAGCAAGAGAGATGATTGAGGCCATAGATGAGCACAAGAAATCGATCACCTTTACTGTGATGGAAGGAGATCTGATGAATGCCTACAATACCTTCAAATTAATTGTCGACGTGGACACCTGTCGTGATGGAGAGCACGTGGTAACGTGGACCCTAGTGTACGAGAAAAAGTCCCAAGCCGTGCCGGACCCACACCAGCTCATGAACATTGGTCTTGATATGAGCCGAGACATTGAGCGCAGCCACATGCGCCTCGTTCCCAACTAATTTAATGGACTCTTGAATGATCATTCATCGATCACCTACAAGATTATTGCTACAAGAATTAAGGCTCTACTATGAATGTCTAAATAATTATGTACTTGTGATTGAACAATAAAATGCTTATTTAATGAGCTTATGAATGTACTAATTATCGAATCATGCACTGACAAGATATAAATGGCCTAATTTCATTTTTAGTTCACTATATTGGTAATTTCCAGTAAAGGTTCATCTTTTTTTGCAGACATAAAACTTAGTACATTAACTTAAAAAATTCATCAAATAAGATATACTAATCATTAGTGGCAGGGTAAAATTTGTTGTTTCCTTTCTAGTCTAATTAATCCAATGTCGATTTCAAGTGGGTGACATACCGTTGGATTCTTCTCCTCGAGACGGTTATATGCGTAAAATTTTAGCCCAATTACAGTTTGTTTGCCCACTCAATTTTTCATCCAAAATAATTTGAGTTATTTTCAATTCGGTATAATTACAACGCCATATAGCATACGGTTTTGCTGGGTGACCCACCATCGAATTCTTCTTGTCAAATCGGTCATACTCACAAAATTTGATATCAATTAGAGTTTGTTTGACTACTCAATCTGTCATCCGAAAAACTTTTAGCCCAAATTCACTGTTATCCATCTAGGGGCCATTTTGGTGCCTTTATGATGTACATTTTTGTCGGGTGACTCGCCGTTTGATTTGTATCATCAAGACGGCCGTAACCACAAATTTTTAACTCAATTAGATTTCATTTGCCCAGTCAAATTTTTATCCAAAATAATTTTGGTTGTTCCTTTTTCAACTTAATTATGGTGTTGTCTCACGCCACACACCGTTGAATTCCTCCCGTCGAGACGGTCATATAGCCAAAATTTCAGACAAAATGAAGTTCGTTTGCTTAGTCAATTGTCCGTTAAAAACTATATGCACAAACTATATTTCCGGCCTGTAATTAGCCCGCATCTAGCGCGTGATAATCTGGCCTTTATCCTGCCTCTAATGATTAGTATACCTTATTGATGAATTTTTTAAATTAATGTATCAAGTTTGATGTCTGCCAAAAAAATAGACATTTATTGAAAAATGACCAATATAATGGACTGAATATGAAACTTTGCCTACATTTTTCTTTACATAAATAAAAACACCAAGATACTAAAAAAAATGTATAAGTTCAAACAAAAGAATTAGTTAGAAGTTAAAACTTATCTAAAAAATAAAAAATGTAATCATATAATATGCATCTTTTCTTACTTCATGTTGTTCCTCAAAACAATGAATTTCACCCCTTTCACAACGATTTCTCTTGTTATCACAACGCAATTTTATAATTCTCTAAGACATTATATTGTAGCTCAAAACAAAGAATTTCACTCCTTTGGCAATATAAAAATCAATAATAACCTAATTTCGGAAAAACTGCTTTTAGGTGTGTACTTATCATTTCACCTTCTTTAGATATATTAACATTATGATAACGCAACAGTTTTTAACATTTTCGTTTTACCTTTCTAAATAAATGATATTCATTTCACAAATTTTATTAGCCGTGACATATATATTTATTTTACAAATTTTATGTAGCCGGCCTTTATGGTCAGATACGTGAATACTTAACCACTACTTGAAAAATCTGTTGAAGAGCTTATTCAAAATCCTACTCGGAGTGGTCTGATATTAAGATGTTTGATTTGCCAAAATATATTTTGGAGGTGTTTTTTTTTTTTTTTTTTTTTTTTTTTTCATGTTTGACTTGCCTAATATATTTTTTATTTATCTTGTAACACATAATCAACAATTTGCTGAAGATATTGATTGAACGGATTGGAGAGAAGAAAACGATGGTTATTGATGATTGATGGGCGTCTATAAAAATATATATATTTATACTTATACCAAGATACGATTATTTATATTATACTACCATATACTATATTCTTCCTTAGCTAATATATTGATTCTGTACAATATTTCTAATATATTATACAATATTTATTTCAGTCATATTCCTACATTTGTTGGACCACATATGGATTTCAGTCCTATTGCTACATTTGCTGGACCACATGTGTTGCTAGATAATCTATGAGCCCACTCTCTCTCGTTTAAATCTCTAATTTCTAAATCTTTTTTCTTTAGTTTTGAGGGTAATAAATGAGAAGCATTTCAATGCCAATTAGATCATAATGATCATTCATCGTGAGATCGTTCATACATTTTATTATATTGATTTCTAATCCGTCCCTGAGATCATTCATGCTGAGATCATTCATACATTTTATTATACTAGTAAAGTGCACGTGCGATGCACGTGATACATAATTTATATTTTAATGTGATTTTAAATTATATTTTTCTCTTTTATATTTTGATGGTCTATTCAATTTTTTTCATTATTATTTTCAATTAATCAAACACAAGAAGTACATTACATATTAGACAATGTCAGATATAATAAAAGTTGAAATACAATTTTTAAAATAATAATATTTGAAAGTCATGGTGAAAAAGATTGCATGGTGAAACCTTCATTATCTAAGTTAGTCTTGTTTAATCGAAATCTTTTTTGTCTGGAGAAGATTGAAAAATTTGCACAGTAAAGCTAAATTAAAATATTTTACTTATATAATTACATGTGATAGTTTGCAATTTTGTCTTTTTATCTGGTTGAAGGAGACCATTTTTTGTCATTATCGTTATTGACTAAATAAAACAGTTATAACTCAATTGACATATGTTAACAAAGTTTTTCAATATTATTCATATTATCTTCCTTTTTCCAGTAAAATAGTTTTCATATGCTTCTTTTCGACTTGATCTAATTAATTATAATTATTTTCATGAGTTATACATATATATTAAAATTTCAATTTTGGTCGAATTTTATTTTAATTTTTTTTCACTCAAATACTATTATATTTTTAATGAAACATTACAAACATATGGTACACAATTTGATTTAGATTTCAGTAATTTTAAAAGATAATCTATAAACATTATAAACAATTTTTTGGTATTATATTTTATTTTTTACTTAAGAAGTAAATCGATTTAAATTAAAGATTCATATTATGTATAATTAGTGATAGTTTGCGCCTTCAGTCACATCAAATGCTAAAATAATTGCGATTGAATAAATTGTGTAAATATCGACAATTAATGTGTAATAAACCACATAAAATGTATAATTTTAAGTTCATAACTATAAAACATTAAAATTTCTCAAATGCGTGTTGTAGATTAACCATAATATTATAAACTCGGTCGAATCAAACATATATATATATATATATATATATATATATATATACATATAAACGTCGTCAAATTTTCGTTCAACATTTGTTATTAAACATAACTTTTTATTCAAGTTGTATTTATATATCATATGATATCTTAGGTTAGATATAATTTTATTTACTTGATAATTTATCATAAAATTTATTGATTAAATACTTATTAAGTTTAAATATTAGTTCACATAAATTCATGTATAAGACGGAATAGCCATTAGGCAGATTGATCCTTCTTACTACCTCCTATTCTTTTTAAATGTCATTTTGACTTTATTAACTATTAAAAAAATAAATGTCATTTTAGATCTTTTGTACATATTTTTCCATTATTACCCTCATTTAGCTAATAAATACACTACGTCTTTTCATATTCACTCTTCATTTTTTCCCAAAACATCATTCTCTATCTTCATTAAAGAGGATTATTATTGGCAAAAAAAATTATTCTTAATTACTGTGTAACTTCTTAAAACGACACTTATTATGAATAGGAGGGAATATTTTTTCTTAATAAACTATATACATATGCAATGAAATATTAAACTTTTATTTATGTTTTTTAAAGTATAACAATTCAATATGAACATAGTATACATTTGGGAAATGTATGAACGTTTTTAATCGTTAGGTCTGTCTAACAATTAATCTTAATATTATACTTTATTTTATTATAAATATGAAAATTTATTAAAAAAAGAAAAACATGTCAGGGTATCTATATTTGTTAACTCATTTTTACATTTTTTCACTACCTTTATTTGTTTCACACACAAACCACATCTTTTGGTTGAAATATATTTTATAATTAATTATTTTATTGTATATAATTGATCTATTATTCAACATTAATTCTTTTAATTAATTTAATTATAAAATAACATTATAACTATTGCCTTAATCATTTTTTAGTAAATAAATAAATAGAAGTTTTTAAATTAACAATAATCGTTTTATCAAAATTTGAAGTTTAGAAATTATTTATATTCTTTTGAATATAAAATTCTTAAAACACCTGTCGAAGTAAAAATGAGAATTATTTTTTACACCAACAAAAAAAAAAGTGAACAAAAAATATTTACTTTTGAAGAATAAAAATATCTATCAAACACAAAAATATCTTTAAAAAACATAGACTTGAACTGGAATGATAATTATCTTTCCAAAAACAACAAATGAACAAAATTTTAATTATGCAGTAACTATTATATAATGTTATTTTCTATTAATTTTATCGAGCTAATTATAAATAAAAATGCTAATAGCCAATTCAGACCATCGTTCAAAGTATTTGACTAAAAAAATGGTTGTTATAGTCTACACTCATAACAATGTCGTTTTAGGATAGATCTTTAATTTATTTTTATTTTATACTATTTTCAAATTATATCATATAAATACTTTTAAAGTATGGCTAATTACTTTTATTTATTTTTAATATATTTTCTCTGAGAATATTACTTTATACACATTATAACCTCATATTGTTAATTTGAAATTTACATTCATGACATTAAATATCATGTTCAGTATGAATATATTTTGGTAGTTCAAAATGTTCAAGAAATAGCTCTTACTATGAATATGAATTATAAATGATGTCAAGAAAATTATATATATAAATGAAAGTCCATGTTTTTCTAAGAGCGCAACATATGATTATCTAAATAATTTGGTACCTACATTGCTTACGTTTGCACAATTGTCAAAAGATGTCACAAACAATTTTTGAGTGAATCCTTACACTTTCATGTATATTAGTTGCGTACCTTATATAAATAATCGATACAGTATATTAAGTAAGTTTAAATCATGTCATATGAGTTTGAAAGAATTATACTAATACATGTATATATAGTGTATAAATATTCCAATCAATAATATATGACATTAAAGGATTAATAAACATGTATTTTAAAATCAAAATGTTGACATCATATATCCTTAACAAATAAGAAATAAAAACTAATTATTAATTTGTTAGAATCCTTTATTGAAAAACATAAAATTCTAAAACTTTAAAAGAATTATATACAAATTAATCAAATATAAATATTGTATATCACAAAAAATAAATCAATAATATATTAAAATTTATTATTATTACTGAATAAAATTGTTTTTTTATATTACATTATTACTAATTATGAATATAAATAAAATAATAATATGCTTTTTATATTTTAATATTTGCTATCATGCCATAAAATCATGTGCAAAATATTTTTTTGTTTTCTTTCATGTTATATCATGTATTTGTTTTTATTATTTTTTTACCATATGTCCTACTTGATACTCAATTTTTTTGAAAAAGGCATTTTGAGTAGTTTTATATGCCTTGTTATTTGTTTAATGTAAATTTTATATAATTATGTTATCTGAACTTTATCTACTATGATATGTAGTTATGTTATTAGTAATATGAAAATAATATATATTCTTGAATTATAATAAATTTATACTATAATAGTTTTTACTTAATATCGTATGTTGTGAAATTGAGGATAGTATTTGCCCAACTTTTTTTTTTCATTTGTTCCACATACTATTTAGGAATATATTTTAATGCAATTCAGTATTATTGAAATAGTTTGCATCTCCTTTATTCACTTTTTTTCTTTATTGATAAGTTAATATGTTTTTTGCCTATTTAAATCTATTTTGTTTAAGTTTTATTTTTGAAAGAGTTTTGTTTTTTGTTAGAATCCTATTTAATTGAGATATTTAATTGTTATTATAACACATTGAGATACTTAATGGTTATTACAATTTTTCCATTGTAAATTATATAAACATAAGGACTTTTTAGTCTGTGCAATTGTACTTAAAACTCTGTTTGAGTGAAATATTTAATTGTAATTATAATTTTATTATTAAAACACACCAAACACAAATGAGAAAAAATGAGAATTATAATTTTTTAAATGATAATTATTATTACAAAAATCTTATATTTATTAATGTAAATAAAAATAAATGACTGTTTTGGAATGTTAACTGATTGGTATTATTTTTCAAGAATACTAATTACATATTGTAATCCATATTTTTAATATTAAGTTTTTTGGTGACCTTAAACAGCTTTAAGAATTTCAAAATATTTAGCTTTTACCTTTAAGATACATTATAAATAAAATAGAATAATTATAAATGATATCGCGAAATAATTCTATATAAATGAATGTTCATATTCGCACGAGGGTCATATATGATTCCTTAGTTTATCTAAGATCAAAATAGCGATTACACAATCATCAAAAGACGTCACAAAATTTTTATGTGAATATTCGCTCTTGTATGTATATTAGTTGTAGACCCAACATAAAAACTAAATGCAATAATTAACAAAAATTTATATAACAAAAAATTAGATTATATTAACTATTTAACATCCATTAGAATATCATAATCAATACCATAAATATTTTATTTAGAAAGAATTTTGCTTTTAGTTAATTTTATTTTATTGGTATACTCAATGTTATTATAATTATTATGCTGTTATTGCAATTTTATCATTACAAATACAGTAAACATTAGGGATCTTGAATCATGTGTAATTTTTTATAAATAAGTTCACCCTATTTGATTTTGATAACTTTGAAATTAATGGTACTGTATTATTGCAAACCACAAATCACATGACCCTAATTTATAGGTATGTTGGGTATTATTAAATTACAGAATTGTCATTACAAAGATGACAAAGTAAGGTTATTTTAGGCATATCATATTTTTACAAATTCATTGGCAGTTTTATAATAGTATAGAAGATAGATAGATAGATAGATAGATTGATTGATATATTATTTGTTACAATAGTATAACACTGTATCACAATATGCTTAAACCTTAGGTCTATTATTTATTCTATACCACTATTGCCAATGGACGGTTATATCTTGACAGTTCTATTTTGTACGATGGAGATCTAAGGTTACACATATTTTATTATATTAACTCTTATTACAATGCTCTATATATTATCATTATAATATGACACTTCCCTACAACCCTATCTCACTTTCCTACAAGCCTCTATCACTATGTATGCTTCAATATTGATGTCTTTTCCTAGGTATTTCCGGGGTAAATGTGAAGTTACGTGTTTCAACTTACATGCATGATGCATCTCATATTATTT